ATATTAGTAAAATTATATTGTCCTCACTGGGGGGTATTACTTTTATATATACCATTAATTTTTAAAAGCTATTACTTTAAGTCAGTGCAGTCATAGAAGCCTCTAAAATTAAGCCTCAAAACTTGTCTTCATGGGTTTTGAATATATCTCTATTACATTTTAGGCTATTATAGTCAATGCTAAATGGACTTGTAATAACTCTCACTTAAAATGCAACAAAAATAGGAGACTCTTTATTAGCAGCTTTATTTTAAGTTTCTATTTCAAATATTCTTTTAATTCAAGAGCCCTGGAAACCCTGGTTTTGCATTATTCTAGCCTGGCTTCATGGCCAATGATGAATATACTTGATGAGGAATACTTCACTTTAAGTGGCAGTTTTGAAGTACTTGCATGGAAGGTGGTGCACAATTAAAATTATTCTAACAGTCTGTTATGCACCGTACACAAGTAATAAAATTAATGGATGCACTTCAAGTAATGATCCATTTCCTCTGGGTGCAATATATTTATTCATAGACTATTTCAGGGGTTGTTTAGAATATGAGATGTGAACGGATTATGATCCATTATCCCTGAGATTCTAATGTGCTACAACAAAATGGTTTCCATAAGTATTGTTCATAATGCCTGGTGTGTTAGAATACAAATACTAAATAGCTAACACAAAATTAGAAAACAGATGCTCAGATGATTGATTCTTAAAACTTTGCAGATATTTACACTTACAAACGCTTACAAAACTTAAAATTTTCCATTGCACTAAGGAGCATAATTCTACGAAATACACATTAAACAATTACATATACAATAGTAGAATTATTCATATCTGAATATTTACTTGGAAAACACTTTGAACTCTTTTTTTATTCCAGAAAACTTTTAAGGGAATTTCTTAGAAAATCAACAGTAGTCCTGGCATATAGATGGTCAATTAATTCATAAAGTTGAAGAAATGTCCTTTCTAACTTTAATTAAAAATGGTACATTAATGTGACATGTGACAGTGCTTCCCATCTCCTGCCCAAGTATTTTGAAGCAAATTTGGCACAAGAGAGATTGTGTACTTGTTTGTGTGTGGCCGTAGCTTCTGTGTACACTGGTCCCATAATGTTTATATTCATATAGAGTACACTATTGATTTGGTATTGAGTGAGTTCATAAGTACAGTGTAGTTATTCTCTTTCTACTCCAAGCTGAGAATTCTACCAGATACTGCCAGAGAAGACATTTCTAGAGGAGTTTTGAATTAATACAGTGTTTGCATGCAAATCTTTCATAACAAGACTTCTGATTATCTCTGGCCAATATTTTGTCATTTCTAGTAACAACTTGAAATTTTTTTTTAATTTTTGGTTTCTTTATAACTTCCTTCTCAAATAATTATAAATGTGGCTTAATATTCCAGGATTCCCAAATAAACTCTCTTTTTATTTTTATTTTAGTCACAGACAGGCTCTTTCTCCGTTGCCCAGGCTAGAATACAGTGATGCAGTCATAGCTCAGTGCAGCCTCAAAGTCCTGTGCTCAAATGATCCCTGGTTATTGATAGAACTTCTTTAAAAAATGTATAAATACACCGTCTATATCCCATATTAGTCATATGTAACATATAATAAGGACTAATTTTAAAACAGTATTATTAACTTTTTTTTTTTTTTTTTTTTTTGAGACAGAGTTTCACTCTTGTTACCCAGTCTGGAGTGCAATGGCGCGATCTCGGCTCACCGCAACCTCCGCCTCCTGGGTTCAGGCAATTCTCCTGCCTCAGCCTCCTGAGTAGCTGAGATTACAAGCACGCGCCATGGTGCCCAGCTAATTTTTTGCATTTTTAGTAGAGACGGGGTTTCACCATGTTGACCAGGATGGTCTCGATCTCTTGACCTCGTGATCCACCCTCCTCGGCCTCCCAAAGTGCTGGGATTACAGGCTTGAGCCACCGCGCCGTGCCTTATTAACTTTTTATACATGGACTGTTTCAGTCATTAAGAAGACTTTCTCTCCTAGTTTTAACACAAGAGATCTGATCTCTTCTTATTTTCTGAATATTCTTTTTCATTTCCTCCATATGACATTGTCTAATATGTCTCAATTGCCTAGTATGTGTCACAGTTTGTTATAAATAAGTTACATATGTTAACTCAGAACCCTGATAAGTATCCTGTGAGGTCAATTCTATTTTTAATCCTCATTTCATAGATGAGAAAAATGAGATCCAGTGAGATTAAATAACTGAAACCATTTCACACATCTAGTAAAGGGTGTCAAATTGGAACTCTGGTCTCTTTAACACCAGAGTTCTCACTGGCCATTTCTCTGCCTTTGTGCCTGCCTCCCCCTATATGCTAATACAGAAGTTGTTCTTTTACCCATTACTATATTTTAATAGCCTGCATTCAGTTATAAAGATTAATATTCAAATAAGTAGAACATATTATAACTTTCAGTGTTATGAATTTTTACAAAGTTGACTTTTCTCCATTACTTACATTTCTTTTACTGTGACATATAGATGCAACATTTTTGGGGGCACAACACAGAGTTTTGTGTAATGGTCAGCAATGACTCATTAAAACCTATCCCTAGACTTTAACAGACACTGCAGAACCTATTGGTACTTCACTATAGTTTTATCATTTTACAAAATTACCGTGTCCATACTGAAAACCAACTTAGAGTTCTATTTTTTCATTTGCTACCATTTGTATTGTTGACGTGTCTCAGGGACACAAAGTGATTTCTCTCTATGTTCCCTTATCATTTACACAAATGTTAAATAAGACTCAGTCCAGCCATCAGCCTATCAGTCCCTTTAATTTAATTTACCATTTCTTTTTTTGCCTATTTAATCCCTGGTTTGTGCTGACTTTTTACCTTTCATGGACTTCCTTCTTCTAACTTCTTGTTGAAGTTAAGCATATGCTGAAAGTGTTTCTCCTAAATATCTGATCATTTAGATCCATGCCACATTTTTTATTAACTAACATAATTTAAAAATTCTCCCCTGTATATTTTTCATCATGATGTTTCATTTTCCAGACATGTTAAGGTTTTATCGTAATACTTTTTCTCAAATGGAGTGCCCTTGTGATTGAAGTTTCATTTCTCTTATACTTTATGCCAAATGTGGTTATTTTATAATAACAGTTACTTAATGGAATCCCTTAACAATATTTTGGTACAATTTTCTATCATTTCTTAAAATCTAATAATCAAAAACAGCATATCACACTACATGTGCAGATGTCTCAGTAAGATCAATTGCTTCCTTAAATATTAGGAGTGTGCTAGAATATTTAGCTCCTACAAACCACAGATTCTTTTATAGTTAGATATATGGAGCTATGTACATATTGTCGTTTTACACTCTATTATTTCCATTGTATCTCATTAAAAATGGATTAGGGAAGAAGGAAAAATAATTGCCAATATTATTTGCAAAGTTTGTTTCCTTCACTGCTATCATTAGTAGCATTATACTTTGAAATGAGTAAAGTTACAGTCGCGTTTAAAATGAATTGAGGGACATGGTTTGGCACCGTTAATACCATTTTGACAAATAGAACATTAGAATATCAGGGCAGAGGGAAGTGCAAGAGGATAAAATAATATAGTTTTTGAATTCACATCTATATGTATTTTTTATTCTTTGAAAAGGATAAAGTGGGAGGCATGTACAAGTTAGCAAAACCACAGGCCTTATGTTTCTAGAGACGTTATAAGAACTTATCTTCCCTTTAACTAATTCAGACTTTATAAGAACTTATCTTCCCTTTAATTAATTCATAGTATCAGAAAATTAAGTACAATGAATATTTATAAAAGTAGATTCTCTTAGACAACCAACTCTTCTACTACCAACCTACTCTTCTACCTTTTAGGGATTTTAACCTAGAGAAGGAAACTTAAAGTGATTTTATGATCTCTTGTTATCCCTGTAGGTCAATGTTGGAATATAAAACATTTATGTATTCAGTATTTCAAAAGTATAAAAACGTTATCAGTGCTAATGTAGCTATGTTTTACAATGCATGGTATCAATCTATTTTCTTTTTTATATCATGTCATTTATTAAGAAAACTAAGTGAATAAACCTAAGAAACTCTAAATTTTGTAAACTAACTTTAGAGAGTTTGAATATTTTAATCCATAGCATAGCATGATGTTGCCATGCTTTCATGCTACATATAGAATAATATGTACTTGTACTGGCATTCATCGTATATGAAATGACACAGTATATTTTGTGGTACATAGTAGTACTCCAGAAGGGTAATGGTGATAAGGATGTGCTTGTGTTTCCATTTTCCCTTGATAAAGTTTTCTGGGTTTTGTATTACCAGAGATGATTGTAAAACTTTCATATCAACTTCTATATTTATAAATTTAAAAATGTTTCATATTAGAAAGGTTATTTTTCCTGGTAATTGTTTTAATTCCTTTGGTCTATGGGCAATCTGTTTATTTCTAGTCTTCTATAAAAGAAATAAAGAATAGTGAATTTTGGGTAATTTCTTTTCCACTTTTTAACACTATAAAAATACTATGAATTTCCAAGCCCATTTTTTAAATTAAAAATTTAAATTAGTTTGGGGAAGTATATTTGAGTAATATGCCTGATATTTAAAATGTATCTGAAAATATCCAAAATGTTATTCGTTCATGATCAACCTTCCAGCTACCATCAGAGCTTTGAGCACTTTTGTTTTTATTTAAATTTTTATTTAATATGTTATTTAAGTATATTCTACTTTTCTGCATCTTATGTCTTTTTAGTCATTACTTGATGGCATTGATATTCTTTGTTGTGATGCAAGTATAGTAATTCACAATGAATTATCTAAAATCATATTTACACATCTGTATCTTAGTAAAAAATTGATTTGGTTTGAAATAATTCATATGGTGAATACTTTTATAATTAGGATGTGTTGGCTTTCACATCATTTCTTTCAGTCTGTGGGTTCAGGGGATATATTTAATTATTTTTTTCTTTCTAGAGGGTGTTAATGCCGACAGCATCAAACAAGCCTCAGAACAACTGAACAGCCGGTGGATCGAATTCTGTCAGTTGCTAAGTGAGAGACTTAACTGGCTGGAGTATCAGAACAACATCATCACTTTCTATAATCAGCTACAACAATTGGAGCAGATGACAACTACTGCTGAAAACTGGTTGAAAATCCAACCCACCACGCCATCAGAGCCAGCAGCAATTAAAAGTCAGTTAAAAATTTGTAAGGTAAGGATCTTTTCTCCTTCCATTTGGAGCATAATCAATAGGTATTTCTTGGCAATTTCCAAGAAGACAAGAACAAAATATTTAGTAATTAAACTTTCACTGTGTAAGGATTTTGCTAAGCACAATAAAGATCAAAATATAATAAATAAAAATCAGTGTAAATAGATAATACATAAATACCCACATTATAAAATTGTATTTGGCATAGTTACACACAGCTAATTCATTATATTGGTTTGCAAAAGGATGAGGCAGTTTAGGAAGGTGGAAACGACATGTATCCTATTAAAAAATGGCTTATACTTTGGAAGTCTTCCTTTGTGACAAGTGACAGCTAGTCATATGTTGAAAAAGTGGAATTTATGCAAATAGTTCGAACACAGATTAATAACAAGCTTGGATGCTATGTAATTGGATAAATAAGGAAAATATTTAAAACTGATGGACCTCTCAAATTAGGAAAATTTGAGGAAGGTTTCTTTACAGAGAGATATTTTTTAAAATGTAGCTGGAGCACAGAGGAACCACATGGGATAGTGTAGTAACCCACCATCAGAGCTGTTACCTCTTTTAGGCCAGAAAGGATCAGGGAGAGTAAAGTTACAGAAACTTAGAAGGAGAGAGATCCTCATGGTAAAAGCAGCATGGCCAGCTAGCTTAAGGAATCCTCATAGAAATGGAGTCAGATAAATAAACACCCTACTTCACTTTTTACCCTGCCTTCAGAATCTTGTCAGGGCTCCTCACTGACTAAACTGAATCATAAGGCAAAGGACAAGGAACTGTAATCTGTAAATGTCAGTCTCCTAGTCTGAAGGGGCAAACAAGATGTAAGTGGACAAAAGGTCCTGAAAAAGGATGAAATAATTATGCCTTCAAGTGGAAGAAAACAAGAGCTGTATGATAATGAAAATAGACTAAACTGTTTTCTTTGTTACTATGAGTTATGTACTTTTCATGCGGAGTGAGACTGATTAGAGGATGGACTAAAACCTTTCTAGGATGAACCTTTAATGATAGATCGAGATGATCATGTTTAATACAAAAGACAAGGAATGGAGTTTCATTTGCATACTTTAAAAAGAATGGTTTAAATAAAGGTAGAATAGACATGAAAAGGTAACATGGTTGATTTAGAAAAGTTATTGGACCCAAAAAGTGATGGGAAATTCAAAGTGGTTTTGAAGAGAAAAACAACTGAAGGCCTTGATGGTTCTTCAGATATTGGACCAATAGCATTACTACATTTTTGTTCTTACATTAGTTTGCTGAAGAAATAAACAAATACAGAAAGTATACTTTTGGATAAGAATACCTTGGATAAGTCACTCGACTTATTAGGCAAATACGCAACTCTAAGGAATTTCTACATTTAGTTAAATTTTATAATTTTAGAATAGAACCCATGCTGTTTTTCCTATGAATCAGAGGAATAATCCAAATGTTTTATTTTTTTGCAAAAAAATAATCTGATGTTACCTTACCAGACTTTCGAGATTCAGTTATAGTAGTGTAACCAGGTATTTTTTTCGGGTGCTGGGAAGGCACAGCTCCCCCGAGAGAGTACTGTGGGTTCTTGGCCTCCAATCTTTTAAAGAATAAGAGATAGGACCACTGCAGATGCCCCGTATGCTTGTAAAAGTACATGTCAGACCCAAGAATGTTGCAGAAAGATAATTTTATTTAGGAAAAGAAAAGAGAAGGAAGGGAGAAGAAGAGAAAGACTTCCATGAAGAGTGTGGAAGGGGATTCCAGAGGGGAAATCCCAGAGGGGAAAGGAAGCTTTCACCATGTGGGAGGGGATTCCAGAGAGCTGGAAATCCGATGTGGATGAAGGAGCAGGGGAATTTATCCTGGAAGAAATTCCTACTTCCACAAGTTCCTCTGGCCAGTGGAAGCAGTTTCTTTAAACTTCCACTGGGGTGATTGACTCTTAGTTTCTTCCCGCACCCCCAAAATTCAAACATAAAGTGTTAAATCTCCCGGATGGAGAGAGCTGAGAGGGTTGCATGGCACTGTGAAATTCTTGCCCTTAAAACTATGTCCCATCATGGACCCAGAAAGAGAACACATTCCCTCAGTCATTATTAATAGCACCTACAAAATCCATTCATGCATAAAATATTTACATTCAGTGTCTCTAATGTGTCTAAGAATAATACTGAGTGTATTAGTCAGCTCAGGCTAACACAATACATACCACAGACTGTGTGGCTTAAACAACACAGGTTTATTTTCTGAGAGTTCTAGAGGTGAGAAAGTCCAGGATCAAGGTTTGACAGGGTTCACCTTCATCTTCTGGTGAGGGCTCTCTTCTTGGCTTGCAGATAACCAACTTCTCACTCTGTCCTCATGTGGCTTTCCTCTGTGTATATACATGGAGAGAAAAGAGCTATTTTTCTTTCTCTCTCTTTCTTTCTGTCTCCTTTTATAAAGCCACCAATCCCTAAGGGATTAGGACCCCCACCTCTGATGACCTCGTGTAAACATAATTACCTCCTAAAAGTCCTATCACCAAATAAAGTCTCACTGACGGTTAGGACTTCAGCATGTGACTTAAGACACAATTTAGCCCATAGCACTAAGCTTCGGGAATATTATAGTGAGCATTCATTGACCCTGCTTTTACTGTATTTATGGAAATCAGAGGAGAGAGATGTGAAGCAATGTAATCAATAACTATTTTTAAATTTCCTGCTAGGAACAGTGGTTTAGACAAAGATGCAGAGCTTTGGGAGAATGACTAACTGTGAAAATCAGGCCTGATATGGCCACGAAGGGCATCTTCCTTGAGGGAGGAACATTTGAGTTGAGGCCTTTGTGATGAATTGGGATTAGGTAAGAGAACAGTGAAGCAAAAGACTTCAGGCAGAAGGAACATGGCAAGAGGGAGCAATACAGGCCATGCACCTGGATGAAGACCATTGTAAATGCTGAACTTAGAGGGACAGGGGAATGGGAGGAGAGATGAAGAGGAAAAGACAGACAAATAAGATACAAATCAATAACTTCTGGGACCTGGTAATATATTGGTCTTAACCTGAGGAGCACATGGAGATCACCAGAAGCTTTATATATTAAATATTGTCTGGAGATTGAGGAAGTCATCCTAAGTGAGTGACTTTGCTGCATACAGCCACAAAGTTCCAGAATCTATTGTCATGTCTTTATCACCCCTTAGTCTTTCTCTCAGACCCATTGGTGCCTATCAGTTTGATGAATCACTTCAGGTAAAATATTTAGCAAGACAAGCTTAATATTATTCATACAAGGGCAAATATATATATTGTTCTGCTGCGATTAGTGATAGGTAAATAAATTATTGTAACATGTTTCTCAGTGCTTCTTTTTATTTGGAGAGGTTTTATGACATTAGAGTGCATATTTAGCTCATATTCCAATGCTTGTCAGGACTGGTCCTTCATATTTTGGGAGTTAGAGAGCCTTTTTAGAATTGAAAGAAATTCATGAATGCTTTTCTGAGAAAAATACAAAAGCTTCCATGAGATAAGCATATAGTTGTAAAGGATAAACAGACTCTAAGTAGTTGCCATACTCTGAAGAAACAACTATACCAAATCCTTTTATCGAAATAATGGCTGATTTTTGACATCTTTTTAAATGCTGAATACTTCAGTTGAAAGTTTTGTCTTCTGTGATTTATTCTCAGAATGTTAAGGTCTCAACTGAACACTTGCCCAAATGTTTTATTAGTTTCAAAGTCCCCTTTGTTTTTCAGAGCACACTTGACTATAATGTTGGCTCTTTCTATATTCCCCTAAACAGGAAAAATGGCAGCCCTCCATCTGGCCAAATGTGAATCAGGTTCTTAATGGTTCACATCAGATGCCAATGCTGTCATTTGCAAATCTAGTATACAAAGTATATGTACATATTTCTGTACTATAAATACAGAGTATTACCCTTTATCTTATTTCTTATTCATGGATATGTACCAACTTTTTAGCACTTTTTTGAGAGGATTTATATTTGAATGAGAAATACAGGTCACCTCCCCATTTTGCCAAACATCTTTACTCTTCACCCACCAAAAAGATTGACTCGTCAGAGATTATTTTACCTGAATCAGCTCATACTGTTATAACCATATAAACACATTCTTCTGAAATTTGTCCTTTAAAAAGTAAGAATAAGTAGCACTGTGTATTAGTCCTGCAACTATGATTAATTCATGTGGTACATTTCTCAGCCAATCCCAAGACAAAAGTTATTCTCTCTCCAAAAGTGTATGAATGCCTCCATAAATAATAACCTTTTTTTTTTGCCTTTTTACTTTGATTTTCAGGAAGCTCAGATTTAAATTCAGTTTAGAATTGCTGTAATTCTTTGCATTTTCTTCTTCTAATAGGCTCATGTTCCAATTTTTAAATTTCAATTATCCTGTTTTTACATATTAAATAGTAACTAATCCTTAAGTATTTTATTTAAAGACAGCATATATATGAATTATAAGTAAGCAGCCATGATAATAACACTTTTTAGAAGAGCAGTGAAAACCTTCTGAGTTCAAATTATGTATGTATTAATGACAAAAAAATTTCAGCTTCACTGGAAACAAGAGCATGAAAACATTTATGTAGAGAATAGCATGTCAAAATAAATACAGGGCTTGCCACAAATCCAAGCCACATATGTAATTTTAAGTGGTGTAGAAACTACATTAGGAAAGGAAAAAGAAACAGTCAATCAATTTCAATAGTATGTTCTATTTAACCTGATTTATCAAAAATATTATCATTTCAAAGTTTAATCAGTATTTACAAATTTTAAGATACTTTATGTTCTCAGGTTTTCTTAGTAAGTCTTCTGCATTAAACGTATTTTGTAATTTCAATGCATCTAAATTTGGAGCAGCCACATTTCAGGTGCCCAGTAGCCACGTGAGCTAGTGACAGCACAGCAGTGTTCATGTGAGTTTATCATACAAACCAGGGTGCTACTGAGAGTGAGAGAGGATGCTGCTCATAATTATGCCAGGACAAGAGGAAATCTGGACAGTCACCATCATTAAAAAAGCATCAATTGTCTGTTTGGTCAGAAGTAGTGAAACCATGCAAAAGTTAGAAGATTATAGACATATTTTTATATGTGTGTATGTATACACATATATGTATATATACATACATATACGTGTTATATAGATTTTATATATGTGTATATGTAATCTATATATTTATATCAAAATATGTTTATAATTTAACATAGTATACACATATACATATATGTAGGGGCATATATAATTTGTATTTTACACAAATTAAATGTAAGAGAAAATATTGTTTGTTGAATGAGCTTAGAATTTCAAGCAGAGGCATGTAATTTTGATATAAGAGGGGTGCAGTCTATACTTGATTGATGGAAAGGATTTAAGGTCATTCATAGCACTTTTCCACTGCACACATTCATACCCATGAATGCTCTAAATTATGTCTCATCTTGAAATTTAAATGTCATTATCTAGAATGATACCTATTGAACAAAGAACCAATATATCCTTAAGTTGATGGCCTGTGATAGAGGCTTGTCTATATGGTCTGGATGTTTCTCATCAGACATTTCTGAAGGGTATTAAGCTAAACTTGCCTTACTGCTTTGTAATACCTTCTTTTGCAAAATGTAATGCATGCAAAGTAAAAGTGTTATTTACTTTCAATCCTCTAAATTATGGCACAGGATGAAGTCAACCGGCTCTCAGCTCTTCAACCTCAAATTGAACGATTAAAAATTCAAAGCATAGCCCTGAAAGAGAAAGGACAAGGACCCATGTTCCTGGATGCAGACTTTGTGGCCTTTACAAATCATTTTAACCAAGTCTTTTCTGATGTGCAGGCCAAAGAGAAAGAGCTACAGACAAGTAAGTAAACATTCTAAAATGGCTAACTTGACATTTTCCAGATTGGTTATTTGTGGGGAAATCCAGAAAGTACTAACATGAAACAGGAATTTCTGTCCATGGAACCATTCTCCCTACAACCTATATTAAAAAGGAATGAATTACTGGTGTAAGAGATTTTGGACATTGAGGAAAATAAAAGAGCAGCTGAGGTCATATGAATAGGGTTTCATTAAGTCTAGCTTGCTGTATGTACAAGAATATTTGCTAGGCATCTTTTAATACTTCTGTCAATTTATCCGAAGAGTATTATACTTTTAGGATACATGTGGCAACTGAAACTCTGCAAAGGACAAATTATTCTTTGGGCTACATTTTACTACTGGATCACTATAATTACATAAATCCTATTTTATCCTTTGATGATAAAAGATAAAAGTGGAGCAATTATGCAAATTCATACCATGTGAGCAGCAAATTTTTCAAGATGTTTCTTTTGTCTCTCATTGAATTGCTTTAATAAGATGATGTTAATACATAGTATCTGCTCCAAAATGTCTCTACTCATCAACTTAATTTTAAGACAAAAATTCTTTTCAGAGACAGATTAATAACCACCTTTATGAAATAGTAAATGGGTTTTTGGTTGACTGTATACGTGCATATATATGTTCATGTGCACACACAAAGAATAATAGAGTAAAATTGGGTTTGAAGGCATTAAGATAAAAGTATTTTTTGAAAAAAAATCTCTTCCTCAAAGTTGTTATGGGAAGCACAGGACCATATGTTTGTTTTCTACTAAAACTTAATTAGTTGGAAAATACATTATCCTATTGCTTTTCTTTGTAAATATTTAAAGAATTCACCATATAATATCATTTCCAGAATTAATGTAGTGATGCACAAAGGTTTTCTCATTTCCTTGACTTTCATTTTTACAAAAATGAACTTAACTAAATAAAGCAAAGGATAAATACTTTTTTTAGTACTTCAAAGTCGTTTTTGCTTAGGGATTTATTTTCCTGTCAGGTAGTAAAGCTTTATAAATAATACCAGCTCCCTCTAGTGGATTTCAGCATACTTGTTGCTGTGCCTCTGTAAAATCAATTTGGGAAAATATTTTAAATGTCCTAGATTTTCAAATACTGACCTATTTAACACTAATGTATTTTTGCTTGTCATAAAATACATAAACCTCCCTTAAAGTTAAATACATTTAGTGGCTAGACAATAACTTTTGGACAAAGGAGCCTTTTCACTGGAAAATTACTTTAATCTATATATACCTCTTAATTATATTAAAGTTAAACTTTTTATCACTTACTTTAAAGATGTTTAGAATAGCAATTGATTTGAGATTTACAACATAAATATATCATAATATATAATCTATGATGTTACAACATAAATATATCATAATATATAATCTCTATTCATACAGCTATCCATCCATCCATCCGTATCATCTGTATTTTTTAAAATTTCATACCTACAAATGATGATTGTTTATAAAACTTCCCAACTTTTTCACTTCATTTATATTTAAATAAATTATCCTCATTTCCACTTTACCAATACATCTTTAATGTTATTCACTCTTTTGGAATGCTTGTCTAGATATTGATAAATAACCCTTTAAATATAAAATATATATAGTGAATGAAAACATGTAGCATATCAAATTATGTAGCAGTTTATTGTGGTAATTTGTAATTATTTTAAATAATTGCACATGTGTATTCATGATCCCTGAACTGGTACCATGGAGTAAATCTCATGGCTTGTATTACCCCATGGTACTTTGGACATATTAAGTATTCAGCAAATAAGAGCTAACAGAAGTGCCTAGGCATCCATAGTGACATTTATTTCCTCTTTACCTTTATAATCTAGCTTTTATCACAAAAATCTGGCTTTTGAAATATATTTCCCATGGTGAAAATTGATATAAGGAGTTGGTGGTTGTTACCTGACAGAAGTGATAGGAGAAAATAATATAAAAAGATACAATTCTTTCTATTTTCAAAGTACTGTTTAGTCTATAAATAACTAATTTATACATTATTTTATCTAAGCCTCAGAGAAACCCATTGAGTGTATGTTTTTATTACACCTATGTCACAAATAACCTAATGAGGTTTGAATAACTAAAAGGATGGATATGAGATGCTATAGTAACTAGATCATATACATGAATGTTCTTAACAACATTATTCATAATAGCCAAAATGTAGAATAAACCCAAATGTCCATCAACGGGTGACTATATGAAGAAAATGGGCACATCCATGCAATGCAATGTTATTGTGTAATAAAAAGGGATGAAGTACTAATACACGCTACAGCATGGATTCCTCTTGAAGACATTATGCTAAGTGAAAGAAGTCAGTTACAAAAGATTGTATGTTATGTGATTCTATTGATATAAAATGGCCACAGTGTGCAAATCTGTAGAGGCAGAAATACGATTAGTGGTACCTAGGTCTTGGAGGATGAGGGGGCGGAATTGTCTCCCATGACAATTGATAAAATACTTTTCTAGAAATTGAAAACCAGAAAACCCATGCTGTATGCTAGATGAATATAGAAATACAGCACCCAGTTTGTTATAGATAATTGTATCAACAAGGAAAAAAATGAAACCTTATTTTTAAATGTAAATAAGGGAAAAATTGGGATGTAATTTGAGTTTATTTCATCAGCAATGTGGAAAACATGTCAAAACATAATTAGGAATTTTGTTCATTTGCTTTAGGTTTGCAGAAATGGAGAAGATGACAGTATTACTTATGACAAAGCCAGTGTTTCATCTGTTCTAAAGTTTCAAAATGATTCTCTTCTGTTCTACACCATTAGATTGCTTTCAGAACAGTGCCTTGCTCACTTATTCACTAATAAATTCAAGAAATATTTTTGAACACCTGGTATGTGCCCTAAAAGTGCTGGGCACTAGGTAATGTACTTGGTGGAGAAAATCTAGAGCAGTATTATGTCTTCACGGAGCTTATAGAAAAAAGATAATAAAATTGAATATCTGAATGTTATTTCAGATTGTAATCACTTTGGGGTCTGAAACCGTGATTCTGGGGAGATGATGTTAGAACAAAACCTGTAGAATGTGCAGGTGCTAACTGTGTGATAAGTTGGAGGAAGGACATTAAGAGAAATGGAAAGAAACCCAAATGGCCAAAGGTGAGAATAAGGGCTTGGCATATCCCAAAGACATAAGGGAGACCAGAGGGGCTGGAACCTAACAAATCATGGAAATATTAGGACAAGATGAGGGAAGAATTGCTCAAGCCCCCCATAAACTTCTATAAAAGTTTGGATTTTTAAGAGCAGTTGACATTTCCAAATTTCAGTTGAGGAAATTAAGTAACCTTATTTGCATTTTTGAAAAACTCACCCTCTAGCCGGTATGTGAGAAAGAAATGGAATACAAGTCTGAGGAGAAGCAGGGAGACGTGGGAAGAATAGCCACACAGGGGAGAGTCCATTGAAACTTAAGCTACAGTTGTGATAAGATAAGGAAAAATCAGTGCAACCCTTGAAAAGGTGATGATGTAGCAGGGAAGATACTCTTGCCAGAATTGCAACAAAATAACTTTTGCCTCTTAGAGAGACAGTAGAAGAAAATTTTAGGGTAGCCAGCAAGGATGTTCTCCATGGTCATAATTTCCAGCTCTGTGGTTAGTCTTTACCCCTCCCTGTTAAGATGCTGAGACTGGGAATTTAAATGAAGATTTATGTGAACTAACTCTTCTAGCTACAGGTCAGAAAATTGACCTAAATTCCTTTCTTAAAATATAATTTTTTTATTTTAAAATTTAATTTTTAACACATCTAGGCAAAGGAATCTTTTATTCCAGTAGACACATACTCTGTTGCATTGCTCCTTCACTCCTGAATCCAGATAAACTATCTGTAAATATTTCTTTAAAAATATTGTATTATTTTTATCAATACCAACAAGAGCAAGAATAGCAGAAGTATTTATTTAAGCAAGCTATGTGCTTATTATTGTGACATAAAATAGTTGTTCACTGACCTCAAGAATCATGGGAAAACTTGCTAAATGCCAAGTTAGAGCAATATACATATACACACACGCATACATATATATATTTTTATCAATACCAACAAGAGCAAGAATAGCAGAAGTATTTATTTAAGCAAGCTATGTGCTTATTATTGTGACATAAAATAGTTGTTCACTGACCTCAAGAATCATGGGAAAACTTGCTAAATGCCAAGTTAGAGCAATATACATATACACACTCGCATACATACATATATATATATGTATATAAAATTTATGTGGCAGGAACCTCATACTTTTTTCCAAAATGGCTGTACTAATTTACATTCTCACAATAGTGAACAAGTGTACTTTTTTCCATAGCTTCCGCAACATTTATCTTCCATCATTTTGAAAATAGCCTTGCTAATTTTAACATGTTTAAGGTGTTATGCCATTGTGGTTTTCACATTTTTCTGATGTTTAGAGATGTTGAGCATTTTTTGACATGTCTGTTGGCCATTGGTATCTCTTATTTTGTGAAATGTCTGTTTAGGTCCCTTGACCATTTTTTAATCAGGTAACTTATTTTCTTGCTGTTGAGTTGTTTGAGTTTTCTATATATTTTGATTGTTAGCTCCTTAACAGATATGTGGTTCGCAAATATTTTCTCTTGATATGTGAGCTGTCTCTTCACTCTGTTAATAGTTTCCTTTCCTGCACAGAAACTTTTCAGTTTGATGCAATCGAATTTGTCTATTTTTGCTTTTATTGCCCATGCCATGTTCATTTCAGCATTATTCATAACCGCCAAGATACAGAAACAACCTCAGTGTCTATCACAGGATTAATGGATAAAGAAAATATGCCATATATATGTCTGTATATACATATATATACGTATATATATGTATATACATATATATAAAGTGATATACACACACATATATATACAGTGATATATATAATATATAGCGATATTTATATATTTCGATATCAATATATGGTATATATACACAATGAAACACTATATAGCCTTTATAAAGAAGGAGTTTCCATCATTTGCCACGATGTAGATGGAAATGGAGGACATTATGCTAGCTGAAATGAGCCAAAGAAAGACAAATACTGTATAGTCTCACTTATATGGGGAATCCAAAAAAGTCAAATTATAGAAACAGAGAATAGAAAGGTAGTTACCAGAGACTAGAAGGAAGAGGAAGGTTGGGAGAGGGAAGGTGTTAATCAAAGGCTAGAATGTTTCAGTTACTGAAACTGGAGGAATAAGTTGTAGTGATCTCTTGTACTGCATGGTGGAAACAGTTAATAAAAAACTGTATTTCAAAATTGGTAAAAGAATACATTTTAATATCTTCACAAAAAAGATAAGTTGGTGAGGTGATGAATATGTTAATTAGCCCAAGTAACTCTCTTTACAATACATACATAAAGCATCACATTATACCACATAAATATACAGAATTATTATTTGTCAGTTAAATATAAAATAGATTAACAGGATATTTTGAAGAAATTATTGCTAAGTGAATAGAGCTACTTTTAGCAAATCGTGAAAAAGAAGGAAAATTCACCAAAAGAAAAAAATAACTCTTATTCTAATAAATATTTCAGTAGCATGGTAGTTTATAGTTACACAAAGTTGGTTAGAAAAATGCAATTGAACTGGAAAATAAATCAGTTGTCCAGAAGGTGAATAATAGAGCAGTACTTATTAAAATGACCTCAATTTCACTTGGTTCATTGGAGTTTTATGACTTTTAAAACAAAATCTCAGGTGATCTTAGATAAAATTCCTATAAACCCATCTGTCTTACTCATGTCAGACCACACCTGGAACCCTTTGTGAAAATGGAGCCTGACCAGCAGGGACTTTCAGCAGAGCAAGTGGCATAAGCAAAAATTTGTGAAGTGATTAAATGATGTATTTTCATTGTAGGATAGAATATTGATTTTGTTAGAAAACTGGGCTAAAATCCCGATTGAATTCCCAATCACAAAGATTCTTGTATTTCAAACTAAGAAAACAACTTATATGTTGGCATTAGAAATTCAAGTTATACCCAAACTTTCTTGCACTTATAATTATCTGAAGAACCATTTCTATGTTAATCATCATATATTGTAGGTCCCATCTTATTTCTTGACACCTTTGTCAGTGTTCACATTTTAGAGAAATGCTTACTTTTGTCCTGATCTGTGTTATTTAATAAAATTTGGAGCCTTTGCTGGTTGTATTGCCTCCGAGACTTTAGATTGATCATGGGGAATAGGAACAAGTTCGGCGTATGGTTGGCAGGGAAATAAAGGCTCAAGTTGAGTATTTTTCCCAAGTACATGTATGTCATGACTTCAGCTTCTATACATATATGCAATGCATTTTCCCCTCACAGGCAATGATGGGGAATTCAAGTTGGACTCAATTTCATATTCACACCATGACTTTTTAAAATGTATATGTATATATTTTATTGCACTTTAGGTTATGCAGTACATGTGCAAAATATGCAGGATTGTTGTGTAGGTACATACATGGCGATGTGGTTTGCTGCCTCCATTGATGTCACCTATATCTGGCATTTCTCCTCCTGTTATCCCTCCCCAACCTCCCTACCCCCCGCTGTTCCTCCCCTACTCTACCCCAACAGACCCCAGTGTGTGATACACCCCTCCCTGTGTCCTTGTGTTCTCGTTGTTCAACACCCGCCTATGAGTGAGAACATGGGGTGTTGTTTCTCTTCTTGTGTCAGTTTGCTGAGAATGATGGTTTCCAGATTCATCCATGTCCCTAAAAAGGACACAAACTCATGATTTTTTATGGCTACATAGTATTCCATGGTGTATTTGTGACATTATCCTTGTCCAGTCTATCATCGATGAGCATTTGGGTTGGTTCCAGGTCTTGGCTATTGTAAACAGTGCTGCAATGAACATAACTGTGCATGTGTCTTTATAATAGAATGATTTATAATCCTTTGGGTATACACCCAGTAATGGGATTGCTGGGTCAAATGGAATTTCTATTTCTAGATCCTTGAGGAATCGCCACACTGTCTAATGGTTGAACTAATTTACACTCCCACCAGCAGTGTAAAAGTGTTCCTGTTTCTCCATATCTTCTTGCATCAGTTGTCTCCACATATTTTAAGGATCGCCATTCTAACTGGCGTGAGATGGTATCTCATTGTTGTTTTGATTGCATTTCTCTAATTACCAATGATGATGAGCATTTTTTCATATGTTTGTTGGCCTCATATATGTCTGATTTTGAAAAGTGACTGTTTATATCCTTTGCCCACTTCTGAGATATCTTAAGGATTAGTAAATCTCTCTTTACGTCTGTCAAATTTGCTGTTAAACCCATGCACTTAGTTCTTATTTTTCACTTACTGTATTTTTTATTCTAGGATTTCTTTTGGATTATCCCTAAAATATGTTAAATCCTTTTTATCATTTACAGTTCTCTGCAGCATTCTCAATCTTGTGTCTAATCTCTTTCAACATGACCAGTGTTGCCCCTTAAGTGACATTTCATATATAAACACACACATATACTTTAAAACATATAAACTTGTGTGTATATACATACTGTGTATCTCTAATACTTTCCTTAATATACATATTAATATAATTATACATGTAAAAGTTTATATATATCTATATATACACAAACACATACACACACACACACATATATGCCTCTTAATAGCCTGTTTTCTCAATTGTAGTTAGGATTAACAATGTATACCTCACACATTTATTATAAGAATTAAGAATGTAATATATATGGGATGATTATTAGAGTTCTTGATACGTATACTAAGCATACATAAATGGGTTTTGTTTTGGTAAAATTAGACATGACATGATATAATTTAAAATTCAAGGGCTTTTGATAATGATACTATTTTTTCCAAAGGCAAATGATAGTGCAGAAAGAGAGTAGCCTTTCAATATCAGATATAATTGGACTCTGCTCAGTTTCTCCAAATACCATCTGTATGACCTTGGGCAAATTACTCAGCTTCTCTGTTTTTCTGTTTTCTGACCTGATCTGTTTTTCTGTTTCCTGACCTTATAAATGAATTAAACAATACAGAATTTACAGGCTGATTTGTGAATGAATGTAATATATGTAAGGTCCCTGGCAAACACATGTAACAGGAATGTATCTTCATAATCATATTCAAATATGCACTTCAGATTTTCTAATTTTGCTAATATTTGAAAATAGTAATATGATTGAGTTTAGTGACAATTTAGGAAAACACAGCAAAGTGTGAAACAGTTTATTGATTCTCATTCTTTTTTCCCTTTCGATAAAGTTTTTGACACTTTGCCACCCACACGCTATCAGGAGACAATGAGTACCATCCGGACGTGGATCCAGCAATCAGAAGCCAAACTCTCTATACCTCAACTCAGTGTCACTGAGTATGAAATCATGGAGCAGAGACTCGGGGAATTGCAGGTTTGTGAAAATTTGAATGTCAAAACAATAAAGCAGTCCTCTTATTTGTCAAACAATCACATTGATGTAACCTTTAAGTAATATTAGAATTTAACTAATTGTGGCAAGTATGGTAGTTTGCCCATTGAGCAAAAGAAAATGAGACTTTAAAGTATTATTTATATATACACTCTCTATCTATTTATGGATATATCATATATATATGCTGTTTTTGAAAACAATGATATGATCTATTTATGAAGTATATTTTTAGTTTAGCATGCATTTTCAGACATAGTGATTCTGCTTATTAGAAAAGCCATGGTGCTATTTCCCTCCTTTGCTTCTTTATTTGTAACTCCTCTAACATTCTCAAACAGATGGGTAAAATCAGTGTACAGTCATCTTGGGGATGCATGGGGAGTCAGTTCCAGAAATTCCTATGAATATCAGAATCTATAGAAACTCAAATCCTTTATATACATGGTGTAATATTTGCACATAACTTTGTACATTCTCTGATATACTTAAAATCATCTCCAGAATACTTATGTCTAATACAATGTAAATGCTATAAAAATTGTTGTTATACTATATTATTTAGGAAGTAGTGACAATAAACAAAGTCTTACATGTTTAGTAAGGATGTAATTATATTTTTCAAGTATTATTTATTAGTAGTTGATTGAATCCACTGATTCAGAATCCACAAATATGGAGGGCTGGATGTGTTTATAAAATTAGTTTAAATTTAAACGTTAATAGTATGTAATATTGTAATGAGAAAGTTGAATTCTAATAGCTACGTGTTTTAACATCCTTATATCAGGAAAGAACATACTGATATGGGAAATGAAATAAATAATTTGTAAAAGATTTTAGAATACTTTTCTTACTAATTTTAAAATAGTATATTATATAGTCAAAAATTTTCTATTTCTTTAGACATGAAAACATATTTAGGAGCTGAGATAATATGTGTACTTTAATAAAAATGTTTTAAAAATTCAAATTTTAACATCATATAGAATCTTTTTCTGTGTGTTAAAATGTTTTTAGAAAATGTATTCAAAGGAATATATATTTAAACAACTTTTCTTATTTAGTGTCTTATTTAGATATTTATTCTACTATAATACCAAATGGTAGCTGCTTAACCTTTTTTTATTTCTTTTTGTTGTAGTTTTTAATGCTTGGCATAATGATTCCAAAGTTTATTTGGAAAAACCTGTGGCCTAATAGAACTAATAAACTTTTTAAAATAAGAGTAAAAACATGAAACAATAAGCAAAGTGGAGAAAGAAAAGGCAATTAGATGAGCAGAAGAAACTATTTCCAGTGAACTAGATAGTGAGGAAAGAAAATAATTGTTCATAAATATTATTAGGAAATGTATTAATTAACAAAAAAATGAAGTTTTAACATTTTCCCCAAAGTTACACCAAAATAAAAACCACATATAAGAAAATATTCAAAAGCATAAACTTTGGAAAAGTTTTTAAATAATAATGTTATAAAACTTTAGGTGGAGAAGCATAAAAACCAATGGAAGCAATCACAAACATTGTAAAAACACCAGAGACAATTTTGAAGAAATATGATACCAAGGAAACTTTTTTTCTGTGAGTAAGGAAGAAAGTCCTGAATAATGCAGACTTCAAAAGGAGATACATATGGATAATAATCCTATGAATAATTGTTACTTAAATTGTAACTGAAGAAGTAAAAAAATTCATAAAATAAGTTATCTATTTTGCATACTAAATTGTGTTCACAGACAAAAATGATGTAAGTACAGATTTGGAAGTGAAGAACTAAAAATTCTCTCTTACTGCTGGAAATGTATTTTCAATATGGATTTTACTGGAGTTAACTCTTCAGTGCATCCCAATAACATACAAGAACATTAATATAATTTCCATGCAGTCTATATCTTACAAAAATAATCACAATCTACTCAAAGATATAAATGAAACTTGAGATAGAGAGGACATTGATTGATAGATGAATGGGTGGCTAGATAAATAGAGATAAACATAATTTACAGGAGTGGAAAACTAGAAATTAAATTATAGAGCTAATAATGGAAGTCGTTAAACTAGAGAAGCCATTACAATTTTTGTTTTTGAAAAATACCCAATGACATGGGCAAATGCTGACAAAACACGTAGTTCAAAATGTAGCTACATGCTAGATATTATCTAAATAATCAGTCATAGGGGAACAATTTTAAAAAGTAAAATAAAAGTGAAGTTAAAAAAGTAAAGTAAAAAAAAATTAAGTACCACGAAATAGGCATAGAATACTATGAAATTATAAAAGTTAGATGTTTAACGAATTTTTGTTTGCTATAGGTCACATTATATGAGAAAGAACAACTGTCTATTTGTGCATATAATATGATTATATATTTAATATTCAGCTATACATAGAAAAAATTCAAAAGTTATATAAAATTTTAGTTCTTTTTTTTCCACCTTTTACTCATGAGCCTTTATTATTTTATAAAGAGAAGGGAACATTTAAGTAAATATTATATAGGGTAAGCCTAAACTTGGCATCCTACTATAAGAGATTGCATGTGTTATACAGAATAAATGTTAATAAATTTTATAAATTTCTTGCAAAATTATCCTCGAATTCCACTGTAGTTCTACATAACAGAATAACTTTTTTGAAAATATAAAATATTAAGTACCTAGATTATTCAATAAGTATTTCTATTTCACATATCAATATTATTAGCTATAGCTTTATGTAGAGAGAATCAAGTCTGCTTTTCTGTAAGGTCAGTATAATTAACTTCAATTCCATTAACTTTATCACAAATGTAGTTATTAATATATGCACTTAAATCAATAAAAGTAGATGCACCAAAACTCTTTGACTCTGTAAGATACAGTTTTGAGATACACTTGACATTATTTAGAACAATACATATGGAGTATTAAATAAAATATCACTAAAAAATATGCAAGTTACTCTTAGGATATGTAAAATTTAAATTACCACTAAATGTTTATAACTGATATAAGATCATCTACTTTGTTTACATATTTGAATCACATAGATTTCATTTTAAGTATAGTTAATTTAACTGAAACTCATCAGTTATTATTCATCAATTAGTATAAATGTACTTAATTTTTTTTGAGGCTTTACAAAGTTCTCTGCAAGAGCAACAAAGTGGCCTAAACTATCTCAGCACGACTGTGAAAGAGATGTCAAAGAAAGCACCCTCTGAAGTTAGTCGCAAATATCAATCAGAATTTGAAGAAATTGAGGGACGCTGGAAGAAACTCTCCTCTCAGCTGGTTGAGCATTGTCAAAAGCTAGAGGAGCAAATGAGTAAACTCAGAAAAATTCAGGTAATTCAAGATTTTACTTTCTACACTCATTTTTATTTACTTATTTGTTTCCCTAACAATACACTATAAACTGTAAAGGTACATAAACATTTGAACTCCAGCATCTTTCAAAGTTAGCGATAAGATGAAAAGACATGAGTCTTTTACAAAGGATGGTGATTTACTTATTCCTTCTAAGAAACGAATAAGAGTTTTCTTAGATTACTTTTTAGAATTAATTTGCTATTTTCACCAATACCAATAGGAATTAAATGTGCTTTTAGTTTAATGATTTTCAGAACCAATCATTCCTTTAGTCTGGTTTTCTTTTAAGATGTAGGTAATCATTTAGCTTATGACTAGAAAACAGTTATACATTATACATCTGTATAATGTAACCATTTTATATATATAACTATAGTTTATATATGATTATTTCCTATGTTACATTTTGTTTTTGCTGTTTTGCTACTTATAAAAATGTATGATTCAACTGTGCTGCCTACATGTGCTATTATATATAAAATATGGTGATAGAGTCATATGATTATATTATATATAAATTCCATTATGCAAAATTTCCTATATGTATATGTGTATGAGAAATGTAGGTGTGTTGATCTTTTATGACACTCTTAAGAAATTATCACAAATTTAATGGCTTCAAACAACACGAATTTACTATATCACAGTTCTGGAGGTCAGAAGTTCAGAATTAGTCTCTGTGGGCTAAAATTAAGGTGTCAGCAGAACTGTGTCTATTTTGGAGGATTTAAAAGAGAATCTTGTTTTGTTGGCATTTTTAGCTTCCATATATATGTGTATATATGTATACACATAAACACCTTATTTGTATATACATATAATGTATATTCACATACACACATATAATGGAATTATATCATGTACATATATACATTATATATAATGTAATCAAATATATGTGACATGTTACATATGTATATTAATGTTACACATGTAATATATAGTGATAAATTATTTTATCACATTTCATGTGTAATTATATGCTTAAATTTAGCACATCACTTGTTTCTCAAACAAAATTCTACTGACTTAATTTGTTTGAATAGTGCCACCATACTAACAACCACTCAAGCTAAAGAAAAACAGTAAACCAAAGATTGCATTAAGGTCTGAAAGCCTAAAATATTTAATGAGGTGAGTAATGTGTCCCTTGAGTGGTCATTTATTGTGAAAAATGTTAATGGCGAGAAGGAAATGTCGAAAACATTATGATTGAAAACCATTGCAACAAGATGCTTCCAGATTTAAATTCCAGTCTAGCTACTTAGCTTTTGTCCTTACCTTTTATAAACCAAAACACTAAGCAAACCTAAAAGATTATTTAATGTATAGCATGTCTTTACTTATAAACATATGTGTACATGCATACCTATGTAAATACTGCATGAAATTATCACTTATTGGCCAAGACCAGTGGCCCATGAGGGCACAATTACATGGCTCTTGTCATCAGTGAGCCCACATTCTAGTGAAGGAGTAATGTAGCTGTATTCAGTTCCCATGACACTCCTAACAAATTCAATGGCTTCAAACAACACAAATGTATTATATTAGAGTTCTGGAAGTCAGAAGTTCAGAATTAGTCTCAGTGTTCTAAAATTAAGGTGTCAGCAGGACTGTGTCTGTTTTCGAGGCTCAAAGAGAGAGAGTCTGTTTTACTGGCATTTTTAGCTTCTAGAAGAAGCATTCCTTGGCTCATGTCCCTATCCTTGGTCTTCAAAGTCAGCAGTGTAACATCGTGCAGTGCCAATTCATCTTTCCCTCTCTATCTCCATCTCCCTTTCTTTCTATCTCTCCTTCTTTCCTTTCTCTCCCTATCCTATTCTCTGTTTTGGCTTCCTTTTAGTTAGAACCTTTATGATTACGTTATGCTCAGCTGGATGATCCAGTGTAATCTCTCCATCTCAAAATCCTTAAGGTGATCACATCTTCAAAGTTCTTTTTGTTATGTTAGGCAACATACTCACATGTTTCAGAGACTAGGGTGTGGGCATCCTGGGGGTAACATTATTCAGCCTTGTACAGTAAATAACTTAAGCAGTATGGGAAAGGTTATCATAGTAAGAAGATCCAACACAAGCTCAAAGAAAAGTTTATGAAATATGATTGGAACATAGGTTAGCTCTGCTATACATTGAATAGGTAGAATTTAGTTAGCTAATAGTGACAAAGAAAGAGTTCTTGACAAAGCATAGTAGTGGCATTTTCAGTTAACTGGAATAAGTTCAACATTGGGGAGATAATATATCTGGGGATTAATAAAATATTATGGTTGGAAAAATGGTTTGAGAGTAGACAGTGAATGACCTTGGATGCCATGTTTTACAATCTGAGTTTTAATCTGATGGTGATGAGACTAATAACAATAGCAACAATTTAATAAGAAAAACTGCTATTGATTATTTTACAAAGGGAAATATACGATTCCACTTGTGTTTTCAAAACACTACCCTCACAAGATGAAGGAGGAGAGGAGAAGATTACTGGCATCACTGTAGATCAATAATTAGAATGAGGTAAGTCTGAGGCAGATATCACAACGAGCTAATGCAGTAATGGAGTCAATAGTAAGATGTGAACAAGGACACTGAAGATGTGGAAAAAGAGCAAATGTAGACTTGAAAGATAACAGCAAGGTGATGATGTTGAAGTTATCTGATTTAGATAAGCACTTTAAAAATTATTGATAATCATATTAAAGGGGAAACTTTTTATAGAGTATATATTTTCAATAGAAATTGAAGTAAAATGGAAGAAAATAACACATGTAGACAGCATAGTTGCATCATACTTTTTATAAGTAGGAAAACAGCAGAGACAAAAGGTAATATGGGAAAGAATCATGGGTGGGAGGTATTGGCTATTTATAAATGATAAAAGATGATGATTTTTACCTGATCATTACTTCATACTGTTTAGACAAATAAAAGCTAAAGCTCACTCTTTATGACAAAATCTTAGTCTGAAAGTTCCCAACTGGAAGGACTATTTAAACTGTCAGCTGGAGAAAACAATTTGTGAAAGTTCGGTTTTAGGGAGGCTATAAAGACACGATTACATTGAGTTTATTGTTCATAGTTTGTTTTATGTACTGTAAGGGCACATTGTTAGTATTCTCATGAGTTGTTTTGTAACTTAAAATTTCTCTAGAGGGGGATGTGATTTAATGTTCTCGAGAGTAACATCATAAAACCACATTTGGTAGTAATTTTTTATTTTTAACAATAGCAGACTTTGCACACCAGTGCTCATACAGTAGACCATAAAAATGCAGTCTTAGTAAAAATATTCTTTTTCTCAAGAGCTACTTAGAGACACCCTTTAAACATGGGAATTGTTTTAGGGCTGGTGTTTAGATATCTCACAATGAAGAAATGTGTTAGAAGTAATCAGCACACTAATAATGCCTTATAACGGGTCACATTTCAGAATCACATACAAACCCTGAAGAAATGGATGGCTGAAGTTGATGTTTTTCTGAAGGAGGAATGGCCTGCCATTGGGGATTCAGAAATTCTAAAAAAGCAGTTGAAACAGTGCAGAGTAAGATTTTTATATGATGCCTTTAATATGAATAATTGTATATGAATATTATTTGGTTAGATGAGTGTTTTACAGCCAGGGTGGATTTTGCCCTCATCTCCTCAGCAGAGTTTTAAAAAATATTTGTAGACATTTTGGATTGTCACAACTGCGTTGGCAGGTGGGGATGGTTAGTTAGATGCTACTGGTGTCTAGTAGTTAAAGGACAGAGATGCTGTTAAATATCCTACAGTCCATACAACATCCCTCTACAACAAAGAATTGCATAATCTAACATGTCAGAAGTGCCAATGTTGAGAAACCCTGGACTAAGTAAGTGAGAAACTGACAAAACATTGCCTTTGACTCAGCCTCACTTGATAACATTATTTTACTATAAAATGCAGTATAATTTAAATGTAAAGAATTGATTGAGCTACTAGTTATTTCTTATGACAAATTATTATTCATACTGTGTTGTTGTTCTCTTCATGTATAACATACTGTACTAATATGCGGTTTTGAAAAAATGTTCATTATACCATTGTCATGCAGCATGAAGAAAATAATCTTGCTCTTTAAAGAAAATTTTTTATAGTACAAGCTAAAAAAAGGAAATCCACCTCACAAATAACCTTCACACTCATTATGCTATAAACACTTTCTGCAATATCCTGTGTTTGAAAATGAAAACACTAATAAAGACAGTAGAGTATGAAGCCTGTCATTTTCACACAGTTTTCAACCAGAAATATTAAATTTCTTTCCTTTTGTTTTGAAGTAGAATACAAATAATTCCCTACTGCATTCATGCCATAATAACCATTGAACATTTTTGCAAGTCTGTCATGTAGCTGTCTATATCAATATCTATGTATCTCAGATTTTAAAAGACAAAAATCCATATGTAATTCCATGAGACTTAATTTTACATTTTCTAGTTATGTTACATAACTAATATGTGGCCGTAATTTTTTCAGCTGGATTAAATTGATTTATTTTCTTAGCTTTTAGTCAATGATATTCAGACAATTCAGCCAAGTCTAAACAGTGTCAATGAAGGTGGGAAGAAGATAAAGAATGAAGCAGAGCCAGAGTTTGCTTTGAGACTTGAGGCAGAACTCAAAGAACTTAACAACCAGTGGGATCACATGTGCCAACAGGTATGGACAATCTCTTTCACTGTGCCTTGCCTCAGTGTAATTAACTAAGATTTCCTAATGTCTTCCTTCACCATTACTTTTGTTTAAGGCTTTGTTCCTATGTTGTTGCTTTAAAGCACAATTAATTCTGGCAAATCTTTTGTCTGGCATATAGAAATATTTTCATAGTATATATTTTAAATAGTACACATTCATCTTATTATGGTGGCAAAATGACTTTCTTGAACACAACTGCCATACTGAAAAATGAAATCCTATTCTTTTTATTTTTTTGGGGGGGGCACAGAGTCTCGTTCTGTCACCAGACGCCAGGCTGGAGGACAGTGGTGTGATCTCAGTTCCCTGAAACCTCTGCCTCCCGGGTTCAAGCAATTCTCCTGCCTCAGCCTCCCGGGTAGCTGGGACTACAGGCGCACGCCACCATACCCAGCTATTTTTTTTTGTATTTTTAGTAGAGACGGGGTTTCACCATGTTGGCCAGGATGGTCTCTATGTCTTAACCTTGTGATTCACCCGCCTTGGCCTCCCAAAGTGCTGGGATTACAGGCTTGAGCCACCATGCCCGGCTGAAATCCTATTCTTAGTCATTATTTCTTATCAGTGTTTTCTTCAGAACATAAATGTATAATAATAAGGGTATTAAGAAAAATACATTACACAGAGGTATTTGGTGCAAAATAAAATGAATCGGTAATATATGTGTGTGTAGAAATAGGGTAAATAATGTTTACTTTTTATTAACATTTCCAAGTTTGGCCTTTTTGATACATTTATTATTTATTTATTTTATGTTTTGAGATTGGGTCTCCTTCTGTCACCCAGGCTGGAGTGCAGTGGTGTGAACTTGGCACACTAGTCTCGACCTCCTAGGCTCAACCACTTCTCCCATGACAGCTCCCCTGGGTAGCTAGAACTATAGTCATGCACCACCATGCCTGGCAGATTTTTTGGTAGAGACAGGGTCTTGCTGTGTTTCCTAGGCTGGATTCCTGGCCTCAAACAATGCTTTTGCCGTGGCCTTCCCAAGTGATGGAATTACAGACATGAGCCACCACACCTGGCCTACATTTATTTTTAAATAACAATTAAGATTCAGTAAATGTTAAGAATAGTTGAATTAAAAAAGACACACAAAATAACTCTACAATAACATCTGAGTTCCTCAATTTTCTACAGCAGAATATTTTATCAATTATTTTATTAACAAATTAATATTAAATATACCTATTTTGTATTTAAATATCAAATTATGGATAGTAAGATATATTCACAAATAGTGTATATTAAATACTTCTTATTCGAAAGATAAAATTTTGAACTAAAGCAACGAATACTTTTAAGTATTCGTTGTTAAGTACCAATATGTTAGTCCCTGATCATCTGCAGTTTTGCTTTCCATGGTTTCAAAGCCTTGTGGTCAATTGCAATCCTAAAATTGGTGAGCACAGTAAAATAAGACATTTTGAGAGGGAGAGAAAGATAGATAATACATTCTGTTTTATTAGTTGTTAATCTCTTACTACGTCTGATTTATAAATTAAATTTTATCATAGGTGTGTATAAATAGGAAAAGACTCAGTGTGTATAGGATTAGGTACTATCCATGGTTTCAGGCATCTACTGGAGGTCTTGGTACGAACATATCTCCCACAGATACAGGGGAACTACGGTACCTTTTTGGAAATTAATAGTGAATTTCAATTTATGCGTTAGAGGCAGTTGGTCTTTTGTTATTGTTAAGTAAACTTTCAAAATGGAAAAGAAGTAATGTCAAAAGGCAAAAGCTACATTTGAAAATGAAAAAATAAAAAGAAAAGGAAAAGGAAAACTCAAGGCAAATAACTCAGCTAATATAATCACTGACAAAGTTCATTGATTCTACTAATTCACTGATGAGATATCCCTGGATCAGCTAGCTCACATTCTTCTCCTGAAGTAAGTCAGTGCTAGAAGAGTTGTTCAGGAAAAAAATTAAATATTACTTAGATAGTAGATTATTCCACTTATGTTTTCCTGGAAGGTCAGTGTGAAAGGTACTTGTTTTTTTCTTTTTTTTAAATTGCCTTTTAGGTTTTGGGGTACATGTGCAGAACGTGCAAGATAGTTGCATAGGTACACATATGTCAGTGTGTTTTGCTGCCTTCTTCCCCTTCACCCACATTTGGCATTTCTTTGTTGGATGAGCATTAATGGATGAGTAGAAAGAACATCACCAATTTATATAGAACCTAGGGAAAAGCAACAGAAAGAAAGAACAGTATAAAACCAACAGTATTACTAAAATCTCAATGTTTTTCATTTTATAGAAGTGCAATTTTAAAGCCTGTCTATTCTCAAAATTTCTTAAGAACTTATGTATGTTATATGTACTAAGAATTTGTTGTTCAAGAGAAATATTTTAAACACATTCATGTGTGGCATAACAAAAAAGCTATAGATCCAAGCTATGTTCTCATCTTCATTTTCTAATCTTAGGATAGTATATATGTCTGTGCTTTCCCTTCGAGTATCACTCTGGTGGTATTCTGACTTTGTAGCCAAATGAGTTAGATTGTGAAAGGAAAGAATCATGTACTCTAGGAGAAGAGGAAGACCATGTAGGAAAAACAAGGAAACCAAATGTGAATATTGTTACCAGTTCAGCATTCCAGAGAGAATGGAAATGAAGTGTAAATCTATGCATTATGCAATTACCTACATACAAAATAAGGGTGTGATATACTCTCTTGGGTTAAAGATAATTCCTTATTTGTCATTAGATGCCAGTATCTGCAAAAACATAAATAATTGGGAACAAAATTGTCCAATTATCTGATATATTTGAGGATGCTTTCATATCCCATGATCTAAATTTGGATGTGTAAAATGGTTAAGATTATTTTAAATTCTAAAGGGTATATATCTAAATTTTTAAAAATCTACATTCTAGCTGTTTTTTTAAAAAAATATTATCAAGTATAAGTGGGTAATACAGTAGACACTGTTTTTATCCTCATGGAGATAATAGTTTAGTGGTGAAAATGGAAAGTAAATAGATTAACACATTATCACAACAATACCTGGTTTTAAGTCTTGCTATACACTCTGAAATGTAGCAATAAGAACGCTTTAAATGAGAGTAACAGGAGCAGGAAAACTACTTTCTACTGGGTAGTCAGGAAAGTCTTCTGAAGAAGCAAAATTAAAACTGATAGCTGAGTAGTAAGAACTTGAAAATTTGCTGTGTGAAGGAATTTTGGGTAGAAAATGAAGTGGAGGAAACATCTGAGGCAAGAGAGGGCTTAGCATGTTTAAGATCAAAGGAAGCCACTGGAAGTGGAACAGCAAGAGCCAGGAGAAAATGAATGGGAAAAAGAGTCAGAAATGAATATGGAAGCCACAGTGATGATTTAGTCATCATGTCAAGTGCTTTGGAAAATTATCTGACTTTTAGGCGTAAGAGTGGCATCATTTCATTTTATTTTAAATGGTTGTTTAAAGTTTGCTGTCTATTCCTATTAGAAGAAGAATAAATCAAAAGGGCTCAAGTGGAAGCAGGTAGGGATTGCAATTGTCCAGGTAGGAAAAATAAAAACAAAAACAGGCAAGAAAAAGGGGATATTTGTGGTTATTGTGATTTTCTAAGGAACCTCCATGTTGTTCTCTACAGTGGCTGTACCAGTTTACGTTCCTACTAACAGTGTGGTATGGTTCCCTTTTTTCTGCATCCTTGTTAACAGTTATTATTTTTTTTATCTTTTTGGCAATATACATCCTAACTGGGGTGAGATGATACCTCATTGTAGTTTTGGTTTGAATTTATTTGATGATTACTGATGTTGAAAATTTTTTCATATATTAATTGGTCATTTGTGTGTCTTCTTTTGAGAAATATCTGTTTAGAGTATTTGCCCGTTTTTAAATATTATTGTTATTTTTTGTTTTTATGATATCTGAGTTTCTAGCTTCTGCAAAGCAAAGGAAACTGTCAACAGAGTGGAAAGACAATACATGGAAAGGGAAAAACTATTAGCAAACTACTCATCCAACAGGAGATTAATATTCTTATGATATTTTTGATGAGGACTTTCACACTTACATCTACCTAGAAGTATTCTTTCTTTCCTAATATGGCACATTCCTTTCTTCTTTTCATCAGATCCCATTAGATCTGGCACTACTTGCTGAAGGAGAGTGTTTGCTGAAAGTTTACAGGAAAAATGAGTGAAGAAAAAAGGGTTTTCAGATATTTGTTATGAGCCACAGTGTAGGTCATTATGATTTTAAAGAAAGGAAAACTGGGTGCTAATAGAAAGAAATGGAATAGTTTACTACGGTGACCAGTAGTTCCACCTTAGCCATATTTATTTTGGAGAAGAAGGCAATCAGAATATATCTGGAGGTCAAGTATACTTTTCTTTTTTTCTTTTCTATTTTATTTATTAAACTTTAAGTTCTGTGGTACATGTGCAGATTGTGCAAGTTTGTTACATAGGTGTACACATGCCATGGTGGTTTGCTGCATTCATCACCCTGTCATCTACATTAGGTATTTCTTCTATTCTGTCCCTCCCCCATCACCCAACCCCCTGCTATTCTTCCCCTAGTTCCCCAAACCCCAGGCCACGCTGTGTAATATTCCCCTCCCTGTGTCCATGCATTCTCATTGTTCAACACCACTTATTAGTGAGAACATGCAGCGTTTGGTTTTCTGTTCTTATGTCAGTTTGCTGAGGATGATGGTTTCCGGTTTCATCGATGTCCCTGCAAAGGACATGAACTCATCCTTTTTTATGGCTGCATAGTATTCCATGGTGTATATGTGCACATTTTCTTTCAAACTGGTCATATTAACTATGTATCTAAAACTAAAGGTAACAGATATATAAGATAATCTTTTTCTTTTTTTTAATTTTTTATTGGATTATAGGTTTTGGGGTACATGAGCAGAGCATGCAAGACAGTTGCGTAGGTACACACATGGCAGTGTGCTTTGCTTTTCTTCTCCCCTTCACCCACAT